GGGTGTGGTCTTAGAGTAGGATCACTCATTCAGAGGCTTGTTTAACCCTAAGATATATATAACCTGTATACACTGCGTAATTATGGGAAGACTCGTTAGGGGTCACCCAAACGATAAACATTCGTTTAGTTAATCCCATAGATTCTTTAACCCCTCCCATTTTCGCAAAAACAACATAGATAGGCATAGCCCCTCCTCCACAATAACCACTGGAGGAGTCAGTGAATGACGAGAAGAGATGCGCGAAGAGGATTCTGGGAAGGGATCAGTCGTAGAGTAAGGCACCGGAGTAAATGTTACTAAGCCTTACCATATCATAATCATACATAAGAAACTCGCTCGGACATTCGGCGTCCGACCCTCCACCACGAAATAATGGAGAACAGTAACAAAGTCTAAAGCAGGGTATAGTAAGGATTCAACACATCTACAGCGAACAAGAACACCTTGGGAATACCCAAAGGCAACAAATCTCTACAGCCAAATTTAGGATAATCATATCACGAGCATAAAACAGATAAACCAATTCCTTAGATACGCGAAGAGACCGAGCACTGTATGCATCACACTAATAGTTGATAAACTAATACAACCTAGTGAGTTAGTAATTGCACTGCTCACACTATGCGTTAAGTTAATTTTTTCCTTTATATCAAATAGTGGTAACTTGTTCAGTTCACAGAGGTTCATGAGAAGGTAATTACTACAAACTCATAAGTCTATTTCCGTAGACCTCTGTTATGAGTCGTTTTCAGAATACTCTAAAAGCCGGAACATGATACGCTCAGAACTAAGATAACTTAGTAGATAACTCATGACATATAGGCCTCCATTAATGACTCATTATCATCTCACCTTTTTAAACATCAGTGTTGAAAGGTGCCTTTTTTGTGGACCTATAGGGTGCGATCATACCAGCACTAATGCATTGGATCCCATCAGAACTCCACAACTAAGTGTGTATGGGGAAAGATAGTACTAGGATGGGTAAGACTTAACGTTGGTACAAAACCCACTTCTATCCACTGCCATAAATCCATGTCGGGATGTTTAGCAGGAAACATTGGGAATAGCACAACAAAGTGTGAAATTTATTTATATAAATCGTAAGAATGTAACTAGCAATGATCATCACTACTCACGAGATCGTCCCTCACCACGCAACAGGACTATGTCTTCACCAGGAGGAAACTAGCCAACAAGCAAGACACCAATCCTGCAGATAGACTCTGCTACTTTTCAAGCTGCAGTCACGGCAGCAGTATCAGCCGTCATGACGCAACTCAATGCTAAGAACATCAGCGAAGTAGGAGTCAGTGTCGGCAATACTGGCCGCAATAACAATCGAGGACACCGACGGGTATCTACCAACAAAGACGCCTCAGACCACAAGCCAAAGAGCAAGAAACGAATGTTTTGGGAAAAAAAGAATCACACTCTAACTCAAAAACTCGCTAAAAGATGACAAATTGTGGCTGCCCTACAATTACAACAGCAATCACGACGCATGCCTCGACCTTTGCCACAACACCTGTCACTCAAGCACTGGGCAGACGGTATATTGGAAAACTTCCAAAGTGTAACAAGTGTAGCTACCACCACAATGGGGTTTGTCGGGTGTTGCACTGTGAAAACTACAACAAGAATGGACACACTTCCCGCTCCTGCAGAAACCGGACCCGACACGTCGCCTCAAACACCAACACCGATGTAAACTCAGCATGCCACCTATGCGGTGAAACGGGATACTTGAAAAAGGAGTGTCCAACTAAGAGGAATGACGGAGGAGCAGGAGGAGTGTGACAACCGAACTAACAAAAGCAACAAGGAACCTTATTAGGACTTTTAGGATTGTTTCAAAAATAAGTCTAGCTATGTAACATACGTTTGTATGGTTTTAGTATGTTTGACAAACTTACCATCTATCAAGAAGTAGTTAAAATGCCTTCTCTCGCTCTATCAAATCAAAACACTTATATGTGAACTGTGATGGCTTGATGTATACATTAGATTTACTTATAATTAAAATATTACAGACTTAAAGTGAATAATTCCATCCTAATTTATGTTCCATGTCTAGTAGTGGGGTTAGGTTAGAGAAATTCACTCGTCGGTTTCATCAATATCAAGTGACATACGACTTACATATACCGATCGACCGTAGAGCGATCTGTCGGGGATCATGTTATAACGTATCATTACTAGCTATCAGAACACACTTACTACCAGTACTAGCTATTGGGGTATGAATCATTTACAGTAATAATAACATCGATTAAAACGGAACACATTGATAAGAAACACAGGATACACTATCACTCTAACGAATATCTCATACAAATACAACTTAATACATGTGTCATTAAGAAAATCCGATGTCGTCATTCGATATGGATTGACTTGGGACATCACCTTATCAATTGCATATGTTACGAGAAGATCCCCCACCTAACCAGTTGAATATCGGAACCCTCATCTCTCATATCGCTAAGTCTGACTCTGACCCTCGGGTCATCCTTCATTGAGAAACCCTAAAGCACTCTTTAGAGGTGTGTTATACATTCTGAAACCTTTTCAAAGCATTCCTAGTAGACCCTTCGTGAGTATCACTCGTATAGCAGATTAAGATCAATCCCGGAGACATGGGACGAAATGCGGGTAGCCTATCACTACTATGTGTATATGTGAAGAGTTGGGTATAATTAAGATTCCACGAACGTTAGATGAGTGTTCCCGCCTTATTTCCTGTTCCTTGTCTGGTTGTTGACTATCTTACAAATCTTAATTATATACAACTTGTATGCACAAGGAAATGATAGATGGACCAGGTACAAGCCCTGCCACAAACTCCGAGACAGAGCTACCAAGGACTACAAATGAACATTCTACCATTCGAAAGAACCTAGTCATGCAAACCGAACTCATACACTCCCTGTCGATGTAAGAAGCTGATGCAATGGTGAAAACCCGTTGGAGCGACAATTGGGACCAAAATTTTACTTAATGGAAGAAGCAAGAAACCATGTTCCAGAAACTAACACATGCCCTGTGTAAAGCTCCTATTTTATCACTACCAGAAGGAATCAAAGACTTTGCGGCCTGCAATGATGCATCACACCAGGGCTTGGGATACATGTTAATACAACGAGAAAAGGTCACCGTCTGTGCCACGGGATGGTTAAGGACGTACGGGGTCGGTTAGGTCACTCATAACCTAGAATTGCGAGTAGTAGTAGTCACCCTAGAACACTGGAGGCACTACCTCTACGAGACGAAAATGTACAATCTCCACCGATCATAAGAACCTAGAAGGCAAGAGTGGCAGGGCACGTTATCCTATGAACCAGATCTGGATGCCGAAGTTAGTAGATTCGGAGACGCCATCACAAATGAAGCACACAAGAACTTGCTACTTCGTTCATCCAGGATCGAACGAGAGGTATCTGGACCTCAAAGGATGATAACGGTGGCCAAATGGAAAAGTTGACATCGACACATATGTGGGCAAATACTTGACTTGTTCTAAGGTCAAGGTAGAACGACAGAAGTCTTCGAGTTTCCTACAACAATTTGGGATACCTAAAAGGAAGTTGAGCGGTTAACCATGGAATTCATAACCAAGTTACATCACACTTCTTACCAAACAAAGAAACTGACAAGATGGAGAATTTGACTTGAACGTACACCAAAGGGATCGTACGACTACATGGTGTGCCAATATCCAATATCTTTAACAGAGATATTATATTTATTTCGCAAGTCTAGCAGCCCTTGTGGGGTCTAGGCTAATAGGAGTGCGACCTATTACCTACAAACCAACGGATAGAGTGAAAGAGCTGTTCAAACCTTGGAGATGTGCCAAGAACTTGTGTGAGTGAGTTCGGTAAAAGATTGGGATACCCACTTACTGTTCCTTGAATTTTCATATAATGACAGCTATCAATCTAACATCTAGGATCCCCCATTTGAAGCTCCTTACATCCGCAAGTACAAAATCCCCTCTGTGTTGGGTCGAAGTGGGTGTCATGCGGTTAGCTTAGGGACACGTCCCTAACAGTACCCTCACTAACTCAGGAATCATAAGAGAAACTACATAGAAGATTGACCACATCCAAGGGAAATTAAAGGCTTCCAGAGACTGACAAAACAGTTATACGGACAACGGACGAAAACCTTTGAAATCCCAGGTCGAAGATCGATTACTATCAGAAGTATCACCCTATAAAGGTTTGATACGTTTCGATAAATGTAGGAAATTGAATCCAAGGTATATCGGGCCATTCAGGATCCTCGATGGGGTGGGCCCAGTAGCATGACAAACTTCGAATACTTCAAGAACTCAAAAATGTATACCCTACATTCCATGTGTCAAACGAAAGAAGAAATTGTTGACGAAAGTTTCCACTTCATGGAAAAACCAATAGAAATCAAGATGCATCCTTGTTGTAAAGGTTCATTGGAACGTAGAATGAGGACCCGAGTTCGCCTAGGAATGCAAAGAACAGATGGAATAGAAATACTTGCGTCTTTCCCCAACCCTTGAAGTCCCAGTCAAAGCGCTAATTTCGGGACGGAATTCCTTATAACGGGGGGATGATGTGACAATCATCATTTTCTGGTCAAGTAAAAGTCAAATAAAGTCAACAAGTCATATCGGTCAACTCATTTAACCCTTATATATTAGGGTTTACAATATGTTACTATCGTACAAATTGCTATTTTAATAAGGAGTTATCACTTGGAAAGTTTGTATGTTCAGAAATTCTAAACCTTAATCGGAGTAAGTGACGAAACTACTTAATAAAACATTATTCCATAACCCTCGGGAGCATATAACAATCATAACGAGGCTTAACGAGGTGTACAAACCTTGCGTTGCAAAGCTAAACATAAAAAAAGGGGGTCACAAGAGAAGTCTCTCTCAATCTCTCTTTATCAATCTCTCTCTCTCCCAAATCTCTCCAAGTATGTGTAATCTCTCCCAAATCTCTCCAAGTATGTCAAATCTCTCCAAGTACACTCTTAGTCCGGAATGCCTTATGAGGAACCCTGAACCTCTTGATAAGGAATCCTGAACCTCTTGTTAAGGAACCCTGAACCTCTTGTCCGGAAACCTTCTTAGTCCGCAATGCCTTATGAGGAACCCTGAACCTCTTGATAAGGAATCCTGAACCTCTTGTTAAGGAACCCTGAACCTCTTGTCCAAAAACCTTCTTAGTCTGGAATGCCTTATGAGGAACCTTGAACCTCTTGATAAGGAATCCTGAACCTCTTGTTAAGGAACCCTGAATCTCTTGTCCAGAAACCTTCTTAGTCCAGAATGCCTTATGAGGAACCTTGAACCTCTTAATAAGGAATCCTTAACCTCTTGTTAAGGAACCTAAACCTCTTGTCCGGAAACCTTCGTAGTCCGGAATGCCTTATGAGGAACCCCAAACCTCTTGATAAGGAACCCTGAACCTCTTGTTAAGGAACCCTGAACCTCTTGTCCGGAAACCTTCTTAGTCCGGAATGCCTTATGAGGAACCCTAAACCTCTTGATAAGGAACCTGAACCTCTTGTTAAGGAACCCTGAACCTCCCATCCGTAACCCTCTTGGTCCGGATACCTTCTAAGGAACCAAGAAGGTTCTCACTTCGGATTTTAGCATGCTCTGGACAATCTCGCTTTGGAATCTCTTGAAACCACTCCGGAAGTTAGGATTTGACTTTGGAACTTACCTAGTACCTCGGAACCCTTGCCGGTTCGCATCCTTCTCCCGGTTTTCGACCACTTTTGCGTTTTAAGCTCGTCTTTCATGATTTTTGCGTGGGATTTTCACCCAAACTTATAATTTGACATATAAGACCATAAATATTCATATTTTAATCACATTTTAGGGGAAATCTCAACTTAAGAACAATATCTAGTGGGTAAGATATTGAGATAGAGTGTTGCTCTTTCCATGAAGTATGAATCAAGTTACCCCCCATACCTACATAGGACAACCCTCGGTCACTATTCATCCATACCTAGTCAACTATTTGTCCTCTCACACCTCTCCTCCAGCTGTTATCTTGATCAAAGGATGGAAACCCCCATCTATCCTTCCACTTTACTCACACTCTCACCAAGAAACAAACACCTCTTTCCCATTTCCCTCTCAAGGAACTCGAGACTCCAAGGCTTCCTTTGAGCTTTTCACCCTCATTCAGTAAGTATTCTCATCCTACCTTGAACATTAGTCACTCCTTCACTCAAATTATAAATCTCTCATAGCAAATGTCATCATATTTGTTACTAGATCTTCAAATCCTCAAGTGTCTCCCAACTGTTCTTGACTTGGAAACTCCTTTTCTTCATCATCCATCTACTGAAATCAGTCAAGGTGAGTTCATACCCCCACATTTTCAGGTTTTCGTCAAGTTTTAGGGGGAGAGTACAAGCTAAAACAACAACAACTTAACTAAACTCAAACATCAGCTTTCAACAGGAAATGCTAGTTCCATTCATGGACTGTTTTGAACATCTTAAACTTGTTAGTTTTCAAAACCGTATTAGGTGCAAATAGTTCAGGTTTATAAATTTAAAATTACTACTTGAAAACGTTCATACGATTTTTCTACAATTTATGGTGATTTTTACAAAACTACCTATCATTGTAGCTACGAATTCGGACCAGTCTGTGAATACAAACGTTTTTACACTAGTTAGAGGCTTCTAAAAATCATAATAAAATTTATGAACAAACTAGACACATTTTATAAACTCTCAGAGTTTACGGATTTAGTTTTTGATTTCGTATGATTTTTCTGTGATTTTTCTAAAACAATGCAGAAATGCTAAAAACGAATTAACAGTTTACAACTTTCATAACACTTTGTAACGTGTTTAGCAAAGTGTAAATCTTTGATGACTTTATATTTTGCATGTGTTTTCTGTTTTGAGATAATTATATAACAGAAAATATTCATTGATTTGTAGGAGTTGTTTATCATTTCAAATAATACAAGATAAGCCATGATATACATAGATATGTTTTTGCTATACATTCGACTTACATTGAAAAGGTTTCATTTACATTACAAACATTTTGGATAAACTATAATAGGTATAGTTTATGTTTCATATACTTTACAAACAAATATGAAAAACTACAATAGGTATGGTTTATGCTTCATATACATGACAAACAATATTGATAAGCTATAGTAAGTATAGTTTATGTTTCATACATTACAAACAATTATGTTATAGGTATAGTTTATGTTTCATTTATATTTTGAACTCATTATAAAATGTTTTCATTTCGTATAAATGAGGTACGAATACAAAGTACCGGGTTTATACAAAAAGGGGTTTTCAGTTCACTTTACGTAAATCTGTTAATGAATAAATTTGTGAGACATTTGCTTCGTGTTACTTCCAAAGTAACGAAATCAAAAGTCCTGTAAATTGTAACCAGAGTCTCTTGTAGGGAGAGCGTGATAGTTGTGTATAGATCTATATTGGGTCGGACAAACCCACACCTAAACTTCATGCAACAGCTAGACCGGCAGGTCTGAGGTGACAAATGTCATTTAACTTTGCGACGCCTGAAGAACGTCGTATACAAGGGCGACTGGGTCATAGCATGGTTATAATAACTCACATGTGGTATTAATAAAACATAAGATTTATGGGTTTTACTTTCAATTTAAACGAGTTTACATCGATTTAAACTTGCATAAATTTCTTTAAGTACGAAAAAATTTCTTGTACATTTCGGTCTTGACATTTAAGTCTATAGTATATTTTAAAAGGGAAACATTGGATTTTCTGGAACAAACATTACTTTTACGAGGAAAGAATTTCAAACATCACATACAAAAGCTTATGAACTCACCAATTTAGTTGTTGACACTTTTTTGAAACTACTTGTATCTTAGGAAATCAGTGAACCAGATAAACAACAGCTTTTGAGGATGGGACGCTCAGACGTCAAACATTTCATTTTATTATCATAATGTAATTGATTTTGAAATATGTGACACATACTACGATTTAACTTTTTTAATTATATTTATGATGGTTGTAATTGCTTTGAGCACTATTATACTCGGTGTTATGATACTACACATGAAGTCCTCCACCCCCGGATGTTTCCGTCATCCTTGGTTTAGGGTGTGACAAGGCGTGCTAGGGTTACACAGAAAAGATCGATCTACAGTTAACTAAAATAAGATGCATGCATGCACCATATATACTCTAACCCTAATATTAAATACGGTTGGATAGGCCCAAACCGTGTACATAATGGTCATATACAAAATAGCCCAATGACACAATCCAATAATCCCAATAATCTCTCCCTTTACGTCAATTGAGGCGAGAGATGCTTCACTGCTGCGTCTGTTGAGTTTTCTTGATGGTCTTGAAAAGCTTTGGAATAACAACAACAAGAGTACGAAGAAAGTTGATATACCAGCGAATCATGTGGTTAAAGAATTTCTTCACAACATCATCATTAAGTTTACACTTGTTAATGATCTCCAAAATGTGTTCTAGACATGATGTGGAGAATAAATGTTTGTCGGGAAAAGCAAAAAGGCACTTCTGATTTTCGACTCCATGAGTGAACATTACAGTCCAATGATTCACATCGATCTTGCCCATTCACATCTTGTTCACATCACTTACTTTTTCTAATAGGATTAACTGTTGTCTTTCGCTTCATAACAGAGGCAATTTCAGTGTCAGGCTTTGATACCTCATGAATGTACGAGACCAACATTCGCTTGAGATGAATGAGAATTGGTTCATATTTCTATTCTTCGGTCAGTAGGAGGTTCATCAGAAAAATCCAATCATGTGGATTAATATTTGGTAGGTCAGCAAGCAAAAACTCATGTACAACGTTGTCTGAACCTCATGTCACCCTGAAATTGAAATTAAAAAATCTTCCTGTAGCAATTGGCTTCATGACCTTGACTGTTGTAATTTTCTGAGCACTCCAAGTTAAGTATTGAGGCTTGGAATGAACGAGATAGTAATCTACTAATGCCCTATCTACGTTTGGCTCAGGGGACGGAACATAAGCAATAGATTCATAAGAGTGAAACACAACAGCCCTTCGAGTTATTGACATGTCAAATTGAGAGTCTTTCATGTTCTATAGGTCGAATGAAGTGACCGGTTCTAGCCAATGAACGCTAGGAAATTCAATAGCTTCTTTTATTATTTTCTTCAACGTCCACAATGGAAAGAGAGTTTTTCTGCTCTCCATTGTGTCGTGAGCTTCTTTTTCCTTTTGTTTCTTCTCTTCTACCTCACGAACTATCCGACGGTGTTCATCAATTTCTGCTTCACGTTTCTTTCTGCGAATGAGTTCGTTCTCATCTGGCTACTCTTCATCACTATCATTAGCAATCTTTTTCCCTTTCACTTTTGCATTTGAACCCGAAATTACATTATCCTTCGGTTCTTTTGTGACATTCAGCTTTGGTGGATCCTGAGTAGTTTCTTTTCTTGATGGATCTTCAGTTTCTACCCCTTGTTTCGGAGGGATACTGGCCTCAGAAACACCCTCAATGCGATTTAGTATGTCAATGGTTTGGAGAAGCTTGTCTGCCAAATGGCCTCGAACATTGATTGTGAGAACAGAATCATGAGCCTCCAGGAGATTAGAAAAGAAGACGTTAACATATCGAACACACACCTTCACCATAGCTTTCTCAGATTTTAGATTTTCGAGCTCTTTGTTCACCTGGTTGAGCCGAGGAAATTGAGTATTGATTTGAGTTTTTTTGAGTGCTAGCTCATCCATTATTTTACTTTCAAGCGCCAAATCAGCTTAAAGTGTATCAAGCCTCAAACTGATATTCTTTTGAAACTCAACATTGCTCATTTCAAGACCTTTACGAATGCTCTCAAAGTGATCCTTCTCAGATTAAAGCGACGTGGTGAGCTTTTCAATTGTTGCATTCATAGTGGAAGCATTATTTTCAGCAGCAGCCTGGAGAGAATCTAAAAAGATTTGAGCATCAGAAATGAGTTGTTTGACTTTCTTGGTTGCTTGTTGACAAGATAGAGTAGATGCTTGAACAACTTGGTTCGCTTTTTCAATGGAAGCTTCGTGTTCCTTGACGAGAGTGGTGAATAATGCTTTGAAGGCTTCGTCAGAGTATGTTGTGATAGATGAAGATGAAGCGATAAGATTATCAAGCTTGTCGTTTAAGGCTTTGAGATGCCTCTTGGTGATAGGGACATCATCATCGCTATCGCTCTGGACCGTAAAAGGACTATAAGGGAAAGTGTCAAACTCAACATTTTCACTGCCAAGAATATTGTCAGATTCTACAGATTGAACCAGGGAAAGAGGTTTGGTTATAACAGGGGTTTCAACACCTGAAGTTTGTGCCCCCGCATCAGATGCGTTGACACGGACTGGAGGTTTGGATTTTGATTTGGCTTGATAGTGAGAAAAGGGGATTGAGTGGTTTGTTCTTGAACAGAAGAAGAGTCAGCCATTATTGAAGGTTCTTGGAGAAGATAAACAGTAAAAGAGAAATCGCCTTTTAGGTTTCTTGGTAATTTTGAAAGTGGTAAAGATTACCATAATAATTGATAACTCCTTTTATACAATTTCCCAAGAGAGAGAAAATCGAATCGTCAATCGGGTATAAATCTCGTAAACAACGCCTAAAAAGCGTGATTTGATAATTGTTCCTCCAAAAAGTGTGTCAGGCGGCGTGACGATTGGTGACAATTCAATGTGCACGCATTGTTTGTTT